AGCACGCTCACGCAGCACGTCTCACGAGAGCGTATATTGCGGCCCAACCTTGGGCGCAACTTGAGCGCTCAGTAACACGCGCTCTTTCGAGTAGAGTCTCTGACCTACCGAGAGGTCATGCTAGAAAGAGGGCGCGCACGCTAGGGGCTGGTAGAGCCTGTTTCGTTTGATGATTGCCTGGTTGTCTGCATGATGAAATCTATCAATAAACTACAATGTCATAGATCTGCAGCGTCAACAATGCGTCCCTCTGTCCTGCCTTGCAGGCAACCGGTTTTGCGGTGTCGTCTTTAGCTCCGAGCGCATGTGCTGGGCGCAATTGAACAATGTGCGTTGAATCACCAGTCAGGATGGAGGTGAGACGCCACGAACGACGGTAGTGATGTCACCTGGTACCTGGTGTTCCTGTAGCAAGGGCATGCGCTGATGATCACATACCGGGCCACACTTATCGGTGAGATATCGTGAGAAAAGACAGACTTCACACCAAAATGTGCTAGCATGCGGTGGGTGTTGCCTATCCTACCTCCGTTGGGGAGGGTATGCTTGCAAGTTGCGTCCGACCAATCATGCGTTACCGCTTTTACGTGCCCCTCGTCCCGAACCGGACACTATCGCCGTGTTTTCAACGCCGGGCACTCCGCATGGGCCTCGTCCGTGACGCCGGGCTACAGGCGTGTCTCGATTCCGTCGACCACATCGCCGCGAAACAGGAGCGCGACGAGCGCGTCTACAGACCGGTGACTACGGCTTCCTCGCAGACATCTCCTCCGTCTGCCAGGAAGCCGTAGTCACTGGTCTGCAGACGCCCTCTTCGTGCTCCCGTCTTGCGGTGATGTGGTCGACGAAGTTCGGACACGCCCTTAGCCTCGCGTCACAGCCGGACTACACGCGGAGGGACTGGTTGCCCCGAGTTTCCTGTGGTTGCGAACGGCGATATTCGTTCGGGCAGCAGGGACGGTGGCTTCTTCCTCTTCTTCGCCGGCCCTGGCCTCCTCAAGCATTTTCGCGCAGACTCGGCCGTGGCTCCGGCGTGTAGCCGGTCTCATTGTCGTGCTGATGGTGTACCCATCGGTCCCAAGCACGGAAGTGCGGGCTTCGAAGGAGATCGACGATACCACGACCCTCTCTTTCGAAGACCCCACGTCCGTGCTTGATACCGATGGGTACACAATCAACATGGTGATGATGAGGCCGGCCTACACGCCGTTACCACGGCCGTCGGTCTCACCTCTTGCGTGGCTGCTCCGCGCCATCAGAAATACTGACAACGACAACACCGCACCACTGCCGCCACCAGCACCATCACCAGCAACCCCGACGACCACAGCACCAACACCATCAGGAGTATGTAGCACAACCACCGGCAGCAGCAGCAGAGGCAGCAGCAGTAACAACATCAGCACCGGCACCAGTACCAACATCAGCACCAGCACAAGCAACAACACCAGCAACAACGGCACGAACGGCAACGGCAACAACAGCAGCGCGGCAACAACGGCCCACACGAGCAAGACAAGACTTGTCCATTCTTAGTGGAACGAGGGGAGGCCTTTCTTCTGCGAAAGATGGTGGGCACCATCTCCCAGGGTGTTCTTCGCGAAAGCTATGTGTCGCCGCGGTGGTGGTCGGTGTAAGCGGTCTTTACTGCCTTCGTAGGCCGCTCGCGTTCCCGGAGATCACCTACATCCGCGGTATTGCTTATCCACCCACCCACCCTCTCAGCGTTCCTGTTCCGTTGTCAACGGAAGCTTGATTTTTCCAGATGTATCATCACACCAGATCTTGACGAGATTTGGTGCGATTCAGGTGCAGCCGGTTGGCCAGGACGTTGTAGCGATGTAAACCATCTTGTTGTCCGCATGTTGTATTAATGCGTCACAAAGAATAGCCAAGTAGTTTTAGAAATGAATGTTGAACGAGGGAATAGCTGGGTGCCCTGTTCACTCACGAGTGATGTAAAGTCCAGAGGCGGTAATGTGAGGACTCCATTCATGAAGCAGTTGTTGGCACGACTTGAAACTGCGTACCACTAGTTGCTTCGCGTTCGTGATGATGATGATATTACCACTCTCGAGGAACCACTGTCTGAACACCACCCTTCCCTCCTGGTTATCTTTGTTTGATCGAGTGAAGAAATGCATGCATGTCGAAGAATTCCCTCACCATGCGATGCCCTCACCATGTGAGTACATTGGACCAAGAGTCCACGTCGCGGGGCGTGACCGTGATGTCGATGTGGTGCTGCCATGTGGAATCAAATGGCCTTCACGCTTGGAAAGCTGCGCAAACCACACGTGAGACAACATGTCCGACCCGTAAGGCCCAAGTAGTTCCTCAACAACAACATGCAGGAGTCTAGGCTGCTGCGGTAGGCTACACACACATCACGTGTTGCACATTCCATCTCTTCCAGTGTCCTCTCGCTCACACGTCAATGCGACGAACGTGTAGCCTACATACCACCTCCGAACGTTGCCGAGGGGGAGCGCCGGACACTGGACTTAGCGAGGGCTGTAATCATGTCACGAACACGAACCCGCTGGCTAAAGGTTCGCACTGTGTGTGTTACAAGCAACAGAGGAGAAACACACTCAACAGAAAACAAATAGCCGCCGTAAGGAGTTCGTCAATACACAGTATTTCATTCTTCGCGGAAGGGCCAGAGGGAACCCGAATGGAATCTCAACACACTCTCCCAAGAAAAAAGCCTACATTGTTTCCGACAAGCATTTCGTGCGCCAGCAAGATAGGGTGCGGACTGTCGTACAGTAGGCGGGGCACACTTGAGGCACATAGTTGCAATGTCGATAAGTTGGCGCCAACGGAGACAGCGAGTGAATAATGTACGAGTTTGCACAACGTCGTCAACCCCGGGAGGAACTTTCCCATAACTCTCTCGGAATTTCCCAGCTTTCCAAACCCGGCGGTGAGTAAAGCATGTCCGTGCGGAATAGGTGTTGCTCGTCCTGCCCCAGACAACCGTTGGGGAAACTGAATGGAAAGTCTTGGTCCGTAGGATTGTCAGAGGGGCCAACTTTGCGCTCAGTTTCATATTTCGTCCTTGGCTCGCCACCGGCAATATTTCACTTCCGGACCACTTCGTTCGAAAACTGTAATCGGAAAAGGCAGGCCTGCGGCACGTGGCCAGTTCGTGCTCTCGATGACACGCCTCTTTTGCAAGAGTGGAAGCGTGGACGCCCCCCCGTGCTCCCGATATCGTCAGGTGAACAATACCGCCTCCTCGAGTCACCGCCACATGTTGTGGCGCATACATACCGAAGTACTGGCACAATGCCATTGTCGGCGCGACACCTGGACCCCTCCATACAACAGCCCTTTACAACAACACCAAAACCAACCACAGTATCAGTGAAGCCTAGCTCCACTCAATACTACTGCTCCCCACTAACTTACTTCTTAGAAATCAACACATCCCCTCGACTACTAGACTAGTGTGGTAGTAGCTCGCGCAAGTAGTTGTTTACTGATTGCATGTACATAGTCAACGTAGTGCTTCGACCGCGTTCGACCAACGACTCTCCAACGATTCAGCAGTGTCACTCGTCACCTTCCCAGCCAGAAAGGTACGTTGGCGTTTTAACGTTCCTCTTCATGAAATCCCTTCAAAACGTTCGATTCGGCGCAACAAGTTCGCTTCGGTTCAAGTTTCGATCCTCTGCAAAAGATCCATCATTGACAGGCTTGTAGGGTCGCCTGACTCTCCTCCGGCTGCTCACTTTCACTCTCACCCACTGTCCAGTCTAGAACTGCCCAAACTCAGCCGCGGACCACAGACAGACCCAGTCACCACCGAGTCTACACTCCACATCTCGATCAACAATGGCGTCCTCGTCCAATGCCATCGTGGCTTCTGCTGCAGACCAACCACGAAGGAACGAGACGCTCGCACTGCCGATGCCCATGCCGACCACGCCCGCGCCGCTCGCGACCCGCCTGACCCGCTTGGTCGAAGCGAAGACCAGGTTTTGCCATATCTGTGGTAAGCGCCAACAGTTGACGGCGTAGAGTGGGGAAGGGGCTTAACTCTCACACACTCTTGCAGTCAGTCTGCACATACACGTAGGAGCCATCGTTCGTGAAGAAAGGAAGATCCTCCGACCATGGGGGAGGTGACTTTGAAGGACCGCCTTGGTCGACCGCATGTGGCAGGCCTCCTCTAGGGCCGAGAATCGAAGCGCGAATCTTCAGAAGGAGAAGCTGTGCCGGTCGGCGTTGAAAACGTCCCGAAAATAACGATGCCGTTCTATGTGTGGCGTCGGCACCCTCTCCATCTCGTCGAAAAATCACACAGCGTTGTTGACTCGCTCTCCAATGTGCGTGCGGGCTTCTGACAGGCTGAGGCCATGCACGGCAACGACCACACGCACCCTTGCGAGAACTGGTAGGGCTTGTTTCGCATGATGTCATTGTCTGGATTGTCCGCGCGATGAGTGTAAACTATTGTGATACTGTAGGCGACCCACAAATCAAGCAGGCGGCGTGCGTACTCCAGCACTGGCGACAGAGACTCGTGCTCCAGCGACGAAAACGCCTCCAGAACTCATACTACAGAACCTTTTTTTTGAAAGCGAGAACCAGCACAACAGCAGCACAGAGACGTGGGACGCTTCCTCTGACCGCCGTTGCTGCAACCTGTGCCCAGCTAACCATTTGGTGTGGTCCTGATCTATCTGGACGTACGTGTAGATTAGTTCTGTTCATGTGCTTGTACAACTGCGGTTGTTGTTACACTGCTCTGCCCCATCTTCAGGAGAGCAGCACTTCGAACTTTTTAAGTACGACGTGCGTTACACGCGTCAAGTCTTTCTGCTGCAACAAAACTACTGCTGCTACTACGACCCCATCCAGCCGAGGCTAGCTACCACGCACGAAGGCCACGACACACACAAAAGAAAAAGTGATCTGTACCAAGTGTTTTTGTGTTTGTTTTCCTCGCTTGTATACTGTTTTAGTGTTCGGCATTTCGTTATAGCGCAACACCGCAGCCCTCATTAGCTTCCTTCGTTTGGTTTTTGGGGTTGAAGGGAAAAGAACAAGGTTGAACCAAAGTTAGAGACGGCCGCTGTCCTTATTATGGAGAGGCGTAGTGCGCCGTTGCGGTGTGCACTACATGAAAAAAAAGCACACTGCTGTGGTCCTCGTAATTCCACGACGACCGCGTTGACTCCCGGGCTCCCGGTGAACACAAAGCAGAGCCGTGGTGGCAAGAACGCTTCATGGTGTGCACCATGTCGAAAACAAAAAACACTTCGGGCATAGTTCCGTCCACGTTTGAACTCCTGGTCAACACAAACATGCAGGCACTCGCAACGCAGGACAGGTCAACGCAGGACAGATCGAGAGATAAAGGACAGCATTCAACGAGCACAGAAAATAATATATTGTGCTCTGGCGAAGGTGCAACAACACCGCAACAACAGCAGTCCCATGCGTTGGTCATGTACTACAGGTACTCTTTTCCAACGCACCAATAACCTGCGCGAAGGACGTAAAAGAACGGGAAGTTGAGGCTGCTATCCCCCCTCCCCGCTAGCCACCCTAATAGCCGGCTGTGTTTTGCCTAGTTGAACCGTGTACCGACGGTACAATGAAGACCCTAGCAACGCTATACGCAGACCACAAACAAAAGCACGGGAGCGCGCACGCGAAAGGGAGGGACGCCACGCGCCGATTCAACCATTCGTGCTACAATACTAGCTACTCCGGTAGTATTCTCGGGCGTCTGGCCCTAGCACCCGCCCCTTTTGTGCCTCTTGCTCTGCCCCGTCTGCTTTTGAGCGAGCGGCGGGTGCAGGTGCTCCATGTGCATCAGATGGGCGGGTTCCTGAGGAGGCGACCGAGCCTGCCCGCCACCACCAAAGTCGACGTTGTTCAGGGAACGAAGCGGCGTGCCCAAGCCCTGGAACGTGTGCGCCCCGTTGGCGGGAGTCTGTAAGACGGAAGGCGCAGGCACTGCGCCGGCGGCAACGGGATTTTGAACAGTGGGAACCCCTGATACAGGGCTCGACGTGCCCGTGGCCAAACCAACCGATTCCCCACCACCTCTGCCCGCCCCCCTGCCTCTGCCTCTGCCTCCGCCCCTGTCACCCCTCCCTGTCCCCGTCGACCCCCGACCGCCCCGGCTACTCGCGCCCCCCCGCCCCGTAACCGTTGTGGGCTGTGAGAAAGTTCCGGTGAACACCCGGCCCCGTGACTCCTGTCGTAGCGACCTCTTCTCGACCTCCACTTGTTGCCTGGCGAAGTTGAAGACGGTGTCGACCACGCGGTGGATGCCGGCCACAGACCCAACCTCTTTGAACAAGGCACCCAACTCCTTCCCTAAGGAGAGTCCGTTGGCGTACCCGTAAGCTGACAGCTTCGGGCCGGAGTCGAGTGAGCCGATGGCGTCGGGGTTGCCGACGAGGGGCGGCACCTGTCCATGAGCCCCTGCAGCTCCGGTCGATAGCCTGGCAGGCCTGGCGGCGAGAGCTTCCATCGTCCACGGCGTACTGCTGTCACGCCACCATGGTCCAATGCTTGCTCCGTTGAAACGCGTGATCCTCTGGGACCACAAGGCCTTGATGACGTGTGGGCAGAGTAGCCCGTACACCAGCTGCCGAAGGCATGTGCACAAGAAGAAGCCGTCCGATCCGACGGCCACAAGGTGACCAAATTCGGACGGTGGAGTGATCTTGCTGATGCGCACCACTGCGTCGACGTTCTGACCGCGGAGTAAGTCGGCGAAGTGAGGCACGGACGTGCGGGACACCATGGTAATACCAGAGGCATCGGGCGTCTCATGAGAAGGGTCCACCAACTCGCCAGAGCGGGTGTCGTAAACGAGCTTGGCTTGCGCCGGGTCCGCCACCAAGTCGTCGAGAAGTCTCCGCGCCGCGTCTGCATCACTAACGACCGTTCTGTCCTGATACGTGAGAGCTGCGACAATCTGCGCTTCAGTGTCCTGACATTCGTAGCACATAAGCACGGGTAGGGGCGACAAACAAGGTACGACGGGCGGGAGGAACTTTTACGTGTGGCATTGAAATGAATCCACCAGCATCGTTCGGGGCGTCAACAACTTCATTGCCTTCCACCACCCCAACGCAATTTGCTTCCTGTGACGTTTCCGTACGGTTAGGCAGCGGGCATGCGAACTTCACATTGGCGCCTGAGGGAAGGGCAACAAGACACAACTCATGACCGCGCCGCAGTCTCGTTCATTCGTAAGACGCCCCGTCTGACGGCGTGTGAGGGGGGGGAACGCGTCGTGTGATGGGGTAGCAAATAGACGGGCCCATCCATCGGCATGACCCATGACCGCCACAACTGACCTCCATGGCGTGCGTGCTGCTTTTCTCGTGCGCCAACGCATCCAGGATGAAACGGAATTGGTCAACGTGGCTGGTTGTTACCCTCGACATCGCCGACTTCGCCTGCCGCATCGACACTTTGTTGACCTTCCCTCCAGTGCTCCGCCTACAAAGCACGGCGCAGCAGCAAGCAGGGCACGGAATATCTCAACCACAAAACAAAACAAAATAAAGATGCTCTTGAGTTGTCTCCGTGGCGTTGCAAAAAAGCTCAGGCAGTGAAAACTCTTTGCTGACGCTATCCGACCACGTCAGGGGGACCTCCATAAATTCGATGCAACCGGCACGCAACAACGGAAAATCGTCGCGAAACCCTCGGGAAAACTATTGGCGCTTTGCTGTCGACGGGCGGGCCTTCGAGAGCGCTTGAGAACGAATGCTACAAGATGTTCATGTCGGCAACAAGCTACCACCTTCTTCCTGAGCAGTTCACCAAAAGACATGGACGCCACACAAGTTGACGTCAACAGGTCGAGGCATTTCGGTCACGTGGTACCTCAGACAGTGGCGCAGAAACGCGCCACAATACTGTCGGAGTCGTGTCGGAGTCGCACCTTTCGGTCTTCGCCATGCCGTCCTGAACCTTGGCCATGATCCCATCGTTGAGGTCCATCATACTGCCCTTCCTCGTCACCACTGCCTTTACCGCCGCATTCATCGACTCCACTCGCTGCGTGGAGGCAATGCCGAGCGTGTGCAGCCCAGGGTGAACATACGAAGCCCACTTGCCGGCCCGCCTGTTCAAGGCACGTTGAGGGCCGAAGGGAGTGTGAGAGGCGGAAAGAGGATGACATGATCAACCGACCGAGGTCTCACGGAGGAAAACGTCAACTCTCCGTAGCGTAGCGGCTGCCATCATGCCAGACGGTGCTTACTCTGCGCCAAAGATGTTGACGGCCATGTACTTGTACATGTGGCTCTCCGGGGGCAACATGTCCAGGATCTCCCCTCGAAGCTGTAGGAAATACTGCGGGAGCAAGACAAAGTGAAGCGAGCGAAGACCATAGATGAAGGGGGGGGGGGCGGGGACACGTTTACGTCAACGCTCAATGAAATGAAAAAACGAGAGCGGACCGCTTCCTTCGTCTACTCACTAACTAGGTAAGACGACCATTGTCGCGGTTAACTTTCACCGGTGCACCTAAAACAATATCCCATCTTTAGAAGTAAACGAAACAGGGTCGAGTGTATCTCACCTCCTGTGTTTGAGCGTACGCTGCTGCCTTGAACTTGCCGAGTACGGCCGGAAGGACACCCTCGGCAAGACCCCGTCCATGATCCCTGATGTTCTCCATGGTGTGCCAGATGCACAACTTGTTCAGGGCCGACGGATACACGTTCGCGATCGCCAACATCGCGGCAGAGTCGCAGTCAGTGAAGACCACCTGATTGAACGTGCGAGCAACCACAACAGAAGGAGGTCAGTTGAACGCGTGGCGCGGACATGCACTTGAGCATCCATCGCCGTCTCATCTCGTTGTGTCAGCGCCACCATTTGTTTGGGGGGAGTCGTATACGATTCTCCCGTGGCATCGCTACGTTTCCGATGAAGGGGTCTGGGTCATCGTCTTACCCCTGGGCTTCCTCCGCCACAGAGCTCCTTGAACGACTCGAAGATGAACTCGAAGGATTCTGATCGCTCGTTCGCAAGCAGGGCTTGCATGGCTATCTGGGTGTGATTCTCCTTGTCCACGACGACGATGAGTGCCAGGAAGAACTTGTACCTGGTTGGCAGATGGCACCATAGAAGCACGGCAAACGGATGTACGATGGTGCGCTATGACATCGTGGGGAAACCATCAAGCGACACTTCACTCCATGGGTGTATACTGCCGGCCAAACTGAGTTCTCCAGGGGCAGGCGTGGGGGTGGTGTGGGGGTTTCGATGGGTGACTTGAGCGCCTATGTTTGATACATTTGCTCACTGAATCCATCCCGGTATGACAGTGGTGGTGACCGCCGCTAACCGAAGTAAACGAAGTCAAAACATATCGCCCATTATCACCAGAGAAGTATCGCCAACCATCACCAGAGAAGCAATTCACGACGTTCCTGCGTGCTCAACACTGCACTTACACGTTGGTGTTGAACGTGTTGTCCTGTATGATGATCTTGTGGTATCGCATCGCCAAGACCTTCTGGTCCTGAGACGCCCATGCGATGCAGGTCATGCGGCCATCCTCGTGCTTGAACCTTAGGAAGGCCTCAGTGTTCTGGAGATGGCCAACGAGCAGCTGGGCGTCGTTAAACGCCCCGTTCTCCGCCTGCCGTTCGGCATCGAACTGGGCCATCATAGTCCGCACCTGAAGGTGCCGTGAATCCACAGATGCACCACCCGAAAGCGGCTTCGTTACGGTGTGAACATGGTGTGAACACTTCGGGAACATCAACTTCGAGATACATGAGCCGAACGAGCAAAACAAAGCTCCAAAAGTACGGTCGCCACCATGCAACAGAAACATGATTGGCTGCGAGGGCACTGCCACAAGCGAGATGTTTCCTGTGGTGTACTCGTTTGGACGACCAACCTCGCTCGCGTTGACAAATGACCTCCACGAACAACGGCCTCAGCCACTCACCTTTTGCTTTCCTGCTTGTCCTAGCCTCTTGCCGACGCGCTCGAGAGTCTTGTGGATCTCCGTCGTCTTGACGCGAGAAGCGTGCAGCTCACGGAGAAAATCTCTTTTCGCCTCAATCTCCGCTACGCTCATCTCGTTCTCGATAGCTCGCGGGCGCTCGTGCTCCTTCCCGCCGGAAGTCTTCGTGTGGTGCGTGAGGCAAAGTTTTCCCTGAGCAGCGGAAGAGAAGCAGCGGTAGAGAAGCAAAATAGTGGCAAGAGCAAGCTTGCGATTCTGTGGTTACATAAGTGGGCGTGGCATTCGGTCACCCCCCAGGCAATATCGGGTGGCTGCGAAGGTAGCGCTGTAGGCTGGCTCCCGCGTCCGTACACCAGGGCTGGTGTAAAAATTCTGTGCGCCAGCAGTCTAGGTTTACCACTTGCAGCGACCTAGCACTTAACCAACGCCCAGCAACCAAGCGTTGGGTTGGGGTGAGGGTTAGGGTTAGGGTTAGGGTTAGGGTTTAGGGTTGTTTAGGCTTAACCACCGTCGAACTAGGCTGACACTGGAAACCCGATAGGCTTTCTTCTCACGAGTCTACCTCCACGTACTACTAAGAAACAGTCTACTGGCGCACAGAATTTTTACACCAGCCCTTGTGTACGGACGCGGATCCCTGTAGGCTGTGGCTCCCATCGAGCTCGTCCATTCACCGTATTCATGGCGAGACTACTGCTGCGTCGTCGTCAGTTACCCGCTTCTACCCGCTTCTACTGATGGCAAATGACCTCACCTTCGCAACGATCGGCGCAGGGCTGTTGGCCGCCCACCACAATCCGACCTCGAAAGCGCATCCAATCTGGAATTTGCACACCGTATCGTACACAGGGGGGCGCAGCGTGGGAAGCGGAGGTTTCGTGCAGGTGCTGCAGAAAAAAATGTGTCCGCGTGGAAAGGGAGATGACCTCTCCTCTTGTTCCCCGACACGAGATACAACAGGGAGATATTCTTTGTCGTGATTTTCCTGCCTTTTTCTAACATTCAACAGGGGAGCGTTACCAATACTCAATCCTGACGCACCTTTTCTGAGCTAGTATTGCGGCGAGCGCTCGCATTCGCGACACGTTCTCGTGCTCGCGGAGACCCCGCCTGAGGACAGACGATTTCCACGTAGTTCCATCTATTGCGCCTGCCGTGCTCCGCCTCCTGCTTTCTGGTGTACAACTGAAGGGGGTGCAGAAAAACCACATTGGACGTCAGCCCTTGCCGAACGTTCACGACGAACGTTCAATGTTTCAATCCTTCAGGCTGTGCATCTGGTCTCATGGCGAACGACCCTACAAGACGAGTCCACGTGCAGCCGACAGTATCAACAACGCAGCAAGTCCACTCTTCACGCCAGTGAAGGGTAACCTTAGCAAACATGAGGGTCCAAACCTCACCTTTGTTTTGTTGTGTCTTTGAAGCGGGTAGCCGCGCCCAATCTTCGCCTTCAGCATCCCCACGGCGTTCTCGATTGTTGCCTCCCCAAACTGTTGTTGGCTCCCCTGTTCGAGGTTGGGGAAAAGGAGGTTTTCTACCTCCCCTTGAAGGGTCGCCAGGTCCTCTGGACACGACAAACAAATGCAAGTAGAAGCATGAGCAAGGTTGATAATGTTGTGTGCTTCAACGAAGCTTGGTTTAGAGGGGCCAAAGTACTTGGACAAATAAGCGATCTTGTGAGCAAGAGCAACAACAACAACAACGAACAAACAACAAACAAACAACAACTTTGACTTTGACTTGTTTCGCTGGCGGTATTGGTGCCGATACAGATGGGAAGTTGGAAATGTACGTCGATGAACGCAGTGATGGCACGCCTGTAAGTACCTGGAGACGTCGGCAGGATCGCACCCCTTGGACTTGCAGCTGGCCCATCTGCAGCAGACGCGGGCGCGGGCGAGCTAGCGGCGCCAACTTCACCTCCTCCAGACCCAGACCCACAAAGAGGTGACGGTGAACCAACTTCTGGGCCAACTTCTCCCAGCCCGCCCAGCCCGCCCTCCACGTCCTCACCCACATCAACATGATGTGACTCGTTCGTAACGGCAGCAGCAGTATAAGACTCCATGCTTTCGCTCATGCGGAGGTTTGTCGGCTCCGTTGGGTACGCAGCAACGGCGGTCAGAGGAAGCGTCCCACGTCTCTCGCTTTCAAAAAAAAGGTTCTGTAGTATGAGTTCTGGAGGCGTTTTCGTCGCTGGAGCACGAGTCTCTGTCGCCAGTGCTGGAGTACGCACGCCGCCTGCAAATCAAGTGTTGCATCTGCTTGCGTGTATTGGCTCTCTCCGATAGCCTGTTGCGCTCACAAATAGAGTGGGACGACAGGCGTGTAGATAAGGCGGAATCAATGCAGCGAAAGTTCAAGACTGCTGCAAAACGGTGCGGTCTACCCATACTGACCTACAACCACACACAAAACAGCACCAGCCGTCGGATGCGGTACTACATAGGAACTGATATGTAGTTGGCAGCGACCGATACACACACAACTTTTTTTCGTAAGAGTGACCGCCATGCTGTCAGGTACTGCACCCTTCCTTTCCGGACAGGTTGCAGCTTGGGATTATGTTTAACGCAAGCGAAATTGCGGCTTGCGGCAACGGAGGCACCCGGTGCCTGGTGCCCGGCGGAAAGAAATTCCCGAACCTGCCAAAACTCGAAATTTCCCAAATCTCCGAGAATTCGCTCTCTGACAGTCGCGCTTTCTCGGAATACTGCCCGAAGCACCATGAATCTGGCCGCTGCCGCGTAGGCTTGCACGTTCCTCTCTGACTCCCGTTCTCTACCCTGGCCCAACTGCGTACGCTGTCACCCGGGGACCAGGTCCTCAAGATACCTCAAGCACATTACACCCCGCGCTTAGCTCCAGGTAAAGGTTCAGGTGCGGCAGTGATGTCCGAAACGACGTGACACACACGAAATGTTCACATGCACAGCAGCTGCAGGAGATTACCTACAGCAGTAAGTACACAGATCCTGTTCTGTACCTCTTGTGCAAGAAGAGCAGAGGGGTTGTTGTTGCAACAAGCACACAGAGAGACGGATCAAGAACTTCGCCCGCCGATGGGGGAATCCTCGTTGCTAGAGCGTCGTGCTTCACACCGCTGAGACGGAGTGAGGCACACAAATAGATGGGAGGAACTTCTCAAAATATTTTCCTGCACCAACAGCTTATCCAAGTGGCTGATCGAGAACTTTTTTTCATGTCTGCCGAAAGATAGTCTATACCGCATTGTGACGTTCCCCGCGCAGCGCGCAGGCCTCTCCTTCAACCCAAGTTCGGGCTCTACCGCTTTCTTGCCAAGCACCTTGTGCTACGTGACAGAAATGCTGCGTGATCAATCTCCGTGGCCTCTGCTTGGCTGTTTGCAAGCTTGCCAACAAATTGCCAAACCCACCTCTTGCTTTCTGATGGTAGACTGTTTCACAGTCCTGTATACTTGGAGATCGTGGTGTTGCCATGTTTGTTGATCGCATTGCTGTTGTTTCGTGGTCGTTGCTGCCGAACCATACGCGCCATGGCCTCTATCCAGCACAACGTCTCCGGCATTCCTCTAGTACGTGCTGTAGGCTACAGCCGAAGAGACCCAGGAAAACGTCCCCTCTGATGAACTTGGGGTAGTCACCCACCACGAGCCAAATATTAAATTCCTATTTTGATCGGCCCGAGAGGCACCATCTCAAATCCGGAGTCGCAAGATGTAAACACAAGAAGTGAGTACGGCAGGCCCTATCGGCGCGTTCACTCCTTTCAGGCACGCGCGCTCTACTTTTGCTTCCGCAGTTGCTCGCCGACGGAGTGCAAGTCCCCACGAACATCACGCAAGAATCACGCCTACCGGCCTCCTCCCTGTTTCCCCCAACAGCGAAAGCGGTGAAGGTTGGGGCGTTTATCCTTCTCAAGAAGGGGTAACTGCTGCTGCCACACACGGTCGCGGAAGGAATCAGTTTTCGCTTCCTCCGCCGAATTTACCCGCCAGGGGGGACAAGGACACGAGTATATACACAGGCCACATACGTGCGCACCATGTCGACCGAGCCCACGCTGCGCTGGAGTTGGCAGGTACGGAGAAAGTAGTGTAGAGAACCACAGCAGCCAGCCGCATGTTTTTGCCGATACTCGACCTAGTACAACTATTTTTTCACACCCCAGCAGAAAATTGAGAATTTGTTAGCCCACCGCACAAGTCGGTACATCTCTCTCTCACACACACGCACAGTTCCCGTCTCTGTCACACACGCACACCTGGGACTAAAGCCTGCAGCCCCCCCCCCCCGCCGTCTGCAGTGGACCGCACGGCCAACAATGGAGAAAGTTGTCCAGCGACTGTCTATAATCGCGCCACCTGCTCGTCGAAACAGAACAATAATACAACTTGTAACAAAAAGTACAATTTGTAGGGCGTCATTTGATGGGCGGCCGTAACCTTTTTTGTCCACGCATGGCTGGAAATAGGGGTCGACTACTCCTGCAGTGGTGGTGGCCGAGGCTCAACGTAAAATGAAAGATGCTCGATGCGGATGTACTCTACCCGTGAAAATCCCTAGACTGTGGATGCCTATTTCCTCCCACCTACTGCTGTAGGTACCCCCTTAGCTTGTTTCGCCTTAATGATGTTTTCAAATATTATCCGTTCGACTGCCAGAATATCTCGAATGGGTGTGTAGTCTTTCTGTGTATGTATTTTTTTTTCCTAATACACATCTGACTTGTCTCTCGGTCATCTCTCTCTCTTTCTCTCTGTCTCTGTCTGTCTCTCTCTCCCTCTCGCTATCTCTGTCTCTCCCTGTCTCTCCGTCATCTCTCTCTCTCTCTTTCTCTCTCTCTCTCTCTCTCTCTCTCTCTCTCTCTCT